GAAAGCGCGCTAAGAAGAAGAAAAAAAAGCCAATGACTGTGCGTTTTGCATGTTATCAACGTGTGTTGCGTTTGTCTGTTTGTCAGGCTTACTTTTTTTTTCCGGGCATTTAAATGAACATCCATACTATTTATATATGCCTATATTCTTCTGTTAAGATCTATTCAAATAAAAACACACAGACAAGTGCTTGACTGTGTTTTTGATCACAGTAAAAATAAAATAACTCCGCTGTGTTTGTTTTGTGTGTGCTGTGTCTACTGTTTTACTCGACAAAGACCACTCTGTCACGTATTTATTCCGAATCGAGCCGCCCTCGTCTCCCCAGCCCCTAGTCTCCCCAGCCCCCTAGCCTACAGCTGTTTTCCTTCTCACTCATTATTAGTTGACGCTTTCGGCGGAACGTCGCGGTGGCCAGCGTTTTGTGATGTTGAACGCAGCCGGGGACCTTGTTCCAGTTTGTCGTCTGTTCACGGTCGTGACTTTGCAGATTATCTCAGCTGTTGAGGGGCTGATGATTTTGATAGTTTTGGTGTGCCTGTACCTGTACCTTTGTAGTGTGGAGTGCGGGGCTTCTAATATAGAGCGCAGTGGTGGACACTGTATTTTCTTTCATTGGTGTTAGTAGTGCTGTTCTCGTGTGTCGTGTGTTGTGTTCAGTGCAAAGAAATGCTGGCTGCTGTGAGTGCAAGGTTGGATATATATAAAAATATAATTCCTTTCTGTGTTTTGTCATCTCGTTTGCCGTACAAGTTTATAGATCTATATACGACCTTATTATATTATGTTGCAAGTGCCGTAAAACTCTTACTATAACTAAATCTAGATCTAGATCTAGTCTAGATCTAAACAAGTTTTGATGGTTACTTATAACTTTTTAATGTAATCTATAAGGTTGGTAACATTTTTGTAACGTCCTTTCTTCGGTACTTATATGACCTAATTGTGTTGCACGTGCTGTTAAACTCTTACTAAAACAAAAACACAAGGTTGGTGGTTGGAGGAATGTTTTTTATTTAATTATACAGTAGGTGGGAGGTTGGCGGGCGCTGTTTGTGTGGTTTGTTGTTCCTTCCTTCCTATCAAACGTCTATCTGTCTTTTCTTTGTATGTTACTTTCGTGTACAGTTACAGTTTTAATCTTCGACACTTGAACGGTCTATTTGTGCTGCACGTGCCGTAAAACTCTTACTGAAACTTAAAAGTGCAACCTTGAAAAATCTGTTTGAAGTAAAGTTGCTTTGGTTTGTTTTTTGGGGTTTTTTAAAATTTCAATTTGTACTTTGTGATAATAATACATGTATATCTAATCTAGCCTTTGCTGTGAGACCAAGCCCCTTGCTTTCTCCTCAGCCCACCCCCCCCCCCCTCCTGTTGGTTGCACGACATGATAAAAGATAGAGATAACATAATATATATTCAAAAAGATTTTATTGATATTTTTACCCAGAGAAACATCGAGAAATTTGCTGTGGTATAGTAAATTATACATACCCTCGCAACGCCAACACCCCCCTTCCTCCAAACTACATTCATATTATGTTGTCATTTCTAGTGCAACCACCTCGAGATCTGATCTAGAATTAGATATTATTATTAATGTATCCCAATGTATGCTGGGTTTTTTTTAGGGGGGGGGTTGTTTTGTGCATATAGATCTAGGTTACTTGGTTGTTGTTTTTTATTACCTTTGAATTTTTAGAAGGGTGACTCTGTCGCCTTCCAACACCCCCCCCCCCCCCCCAAAAAAAAAAAAAAAAGTAACAAATGGGGCAATTTTGTTTCATGTTTCGTTGGCTTTTGTAACTTGAGAATATTTACCTCGTCCTGACAGGGATATCTCCCTGTATCAAGATCATAACAAAAAAAATTACCCCGTCTTGTCCTGCGCAACGTACATTCCAGCAACAGATTTATAAAACAAGGCCCGCGCTCGCACGCACACGCACACACAACACACAAATACAAAGACACTCTCACATACACACACACACACACACACACACACACACATACACCCTCACACGACATAGAGAGAGAGAGAGAGTATAACATGAGTATCATACTTTTTGGTTCTGGTCGTTCGGTTGTTGTTGTTTTTATGGGGGGGGGGGGGGGGGGGTATTTTGGGTTTTTTTGGTTTTGTTTGTTTGTTCTGGTCTTTTTCCAAATGTGCCAAATGCCCGATGACGAGTGAGGCATGAGAAAGGCTTTTATCAACGCCTATACATGCCGTGTATTTTTATACAGTAGCCCTAGGCGCCGGTCAATAAAAAATAAGTGTTGATAAAAACAGGTGGTAGAAATGTACTCAAATCTAATCCAAGTGACAGTGGCGCCCACAGCTCAGCCCCCAGGCGATGTGTAACTAACTCAACACTGAGTGTCGTTGATCTCCACAAAGAGAAATTTGCTGCCTTGTGGTTAAATACTGTAATAATAACATGGTGCATATTACGCATTATTAACACGCTGTCTCGCACCATCGCACTTCACATACACACTCGTAGGCTACACATTTTTTACACACTTTCTCTCTCTGTCTCTCTCTTTTCTCTGTCTCTCTCTCTCTCTCTCTCTCTCTCTCTGTCTCTCTCTTTTCTCTGTGTCTCTCTCTCTCTCTCTCTCTCTTTCTCTCTCTCT